CACTACTGTAGATCTAACAGCTCGATAGTTGCATGACCCACCTGGTTTAAACATTAAAATAATATTTTTAAATATCATAATATAACTTGACCAAAAAAGGAACCTTAAATACAAATATATTTGAATTTTCAAGGCAGTTAAAGAAAAAAAACAGGAGGAAAATATTTACGATATTTTTTAAATGAGAAATTATGCAAAGGTCAATCACAATACTCTGTAGCAGGGAACAGTAGAAAAAAGGTAAAAGTCACATAAACAGACCTGCAAAAACACAGATTACTAATGAATAAATAAGTCGCTTACACACAAGAGATTTCATGTGGCTACATCAGAATGTATTAATACCAGTAATGTATTTGCCATTCCGAAAATGTGTAACAGATAACACTTAAGACTAATGTCACTAAAAACAGGAGTTCAAAGCTGATTGAATATTGAAATAAAAAACTTCAGTTTAAAAAAATTAATTACTCATTTATAAGAATTAAATAAGTTAAAACCTCTCATTAGACAAAAAAGGTGGTTACACCACCTCCCATTTTTTCCGCTTCCAGTAGAAGCGGTAGAAGTGCATCGATTGTGGCTTGGACTCCCAACCTTGAGGTCATAGGCTCGAAACTCTCGCTGTGCGAGTCGCTTGTGTCCTTGGGCAAGGCACTTTATCTACGTTTGTCTCTCTCTACCCAGGAGTATAAATGGGTACCTGATAGGATGTTGTGGCATTGAATGATCTAGTTTCGTGCGCTAAAGAAGTAGCGAACGGCTATGGATACTCCCCGGGGAGCAGAGAATGTGCACTTTGTGCTGGTTTGCTATTGTACGTTATCCAGTGACCAGAGGTAATAACGCTTGCGCCTTTGATCATTCAATTTGGAATTGGCGCCTTATAAATGTTTGGGTATTATTATTATTAAATACTGAAAAATATGTATCTCATTAACCATTCCTGATTTTTTCATCAAATATGCTTTTTCAAATTGGTGTCAGTTGTACAACATATCAACATTTGTTTTTCCTCAGGAGCTTTAAATTAAACATTTTTAAATTTTATATTGAATAGGAACAATATACATGTTAATTCCGAAGGAACATTTGTATTGTAAACATTTTCAATTAGAGACGAATAA